GAAATTCGCCTATTTCACCGATCTAGGGATCCCTTCTTTTTCAAATTTTAATATCGACTCGAAATAATTTAAAAAGACAAATTACAATAAAACGGTTTATTGTCCGACTATCAGAAATTTCGCAACACGCCAAGGAAGAAAGGAAGGAGCAATTAAATAATTAAAATTATAAAGGATTAAAAAAAAATATATATATATATATAAATGGGGAATATCGCGCTTCTAACAATCGCAGCGAGTGTGTGGGCTAGATTTGGATAATCCGTGTTTCTCGCATGGACAACTGTATGTGACCGGCTCACGCGTTTTAAAACCTTCCGATTTATTCGTGTACGCACCAGACGGAAAAACAAAAAATATAGTGTATCCACAAACACTCCAATAAATAAACAGAATTGAAACGACACTTTGAAATGTTTTCCCGATGAAAATGAATAATAATAATAAGTTTCAATAAAAATGATAAAATGTAAATTGAATTTTATCATAACGAGTTTGCTTCAATTTCCTTTCTTCTGAGATGGCAGCAATGAGCGATGGGTAAGCTAGTGTTTTATAAAACATTGTAAGCAATAGTGATTATTAGGTCTCGATGTGTTATGTGTCCGCTTAGGAAGGTTGTAAATTAAAAGCGAACTGAGTTGTCGAAATGCATACTGCAGTTTTAATTCTTAAATAAATATTGGCTAGTATGTGAGAAGTCTGTGGTCGGTTGAGTTTATAAACTAAACCACTGGTAAAAAGTGATATATTAAAACTTACAGAAGTATAATTATTTAAAGTTACTAAATATTAAATCTTTTAAATAATATTAAATACAATAGAATAGACTAATATTCAAATTAAAATTTCCAACTTAATGTAAACAATTGATATTAATGGTTATTGTTAGTATTCCGCAATTTAATTTATTTTAACATAGGCACAATTTTATAAATGATCAATTTAAATATTTTAATACACAACCCTCCGCACAATGTTATTAAATTAACCAACGAAATTTTAGATATTGAAAGTAGCTGTACTATTTATCGCCTACATTTCATTACTAATTTAGCTTATTCTCTTTTTAATCTGATTAAAAACTAGTGTTTTTGTCACTCTCCAGCAGACATAATACAAACAACGAAAAAGTAGTATTTAAAGGCTCGAATTCTATAACAACTCTACTCGAAATTATTCATTTTTAACCTAGGAAAGGTAAGTTTTGTTTTTATATTTTTAGCACTTTTTGGTATTCAAATTTAAACTGATGTTTCTTCGTCAGTAGAGATATAAATATGATAGAATATATAAAAAATCCAAGCAGTAAAGATATGCGTCGATATCTTAGAAGAATGTTACAGAATGTCATTATGACGGGAATCCCTCAAATCGTCACAGAGCCAAATACCAAAAGGAAAATATTTAAGTTGTTCATATTTTTCGGTGCTTTATTTGGATTTTTCTTCCAATTAACTCAATTCCTGTTATTATATTTCACGTATCCGACCAATTTAGAAGCTTCGATTAAATTTATGGACGTGAAAGATCTTCCGAAACCGATAATTACGCTTTGTGATACCAACAGGTGAGTAGGATTTTAAATTCGAACATTATTCAGCTTCTAGTTCTTTTCGTTTAGGTAATATTGGTCAAAATTTAATATTATTAATTAAGGTTTTAAAAGACCGATACTAAAATTAGAAGTGTATTATTGTTATAGTTCTAATAAACTGTATAAGTCTATGTTAACTTGTTATTAATATTTTTGTCATCTGATTATCATGGTACATTGTCGTTTGAATATTTCGGTTAAATTTTTTATATACAGTAAAACTTGCTAATCTGACCCCTGAAGGGACCGGCTCAAAGTGGTCGTCTTACACAGGTGGTCAGATTAGGTTTTACTATATTCAACTAGAACCACTCGTACCCTCGCATCACGGGCTTCGATCCCTTCTTCAAATATAGATTATTATAACGGAAAGTATGTTGTTTTTTTTTCTTCTGTCAGGTGTTTATGATCACTTCAAGCTAAGTATTTTATATTGTGAAGCGGCAACACTAACTCAATAAGAACAAATAACGCTGGAAGGATTGTCAACACGATTAGAAATTTATGCATGAGAAAAGGAAGCTCCTCGTAGTGGATATTTCTACTGGAAAGACGTGTGCATCGCGAAAGTCGTTTTTTGTCGTCTTAATCCTGTATAGCGAATCGTATTTGATATCTCTATTCATAAACAACAATGTTTGTTTTCTCATTTCTACTCTATACACTCTTAGGCCGTTCCACCAATTGCTACTAAACTCGGCAATTAAGTTCAAATTCTTATAACTTAGATCATGTCTTTCATTCACCTCAAAATATCGATTGTATTTGTATGAAATTATGACGAATTACTGCGACATTAACATAGCGCGAAATAGATGCGCCATTACTCCGACAGGTAGCGCATAGCACTGGCCTGTGTGGTGTATAGTAGCGTTTTGCCTCCGTACCTCATACTTTTCCTGTCGTGCCGGTTACGTATCTACCTCTGTTCGGGGGAAGCTTTTTGAATCGAAATAACTCGCAATGCAAATCGGAAATTCGCACATAGTTAACCTAGTTCTCTTTCTATTACAATTTCCACGCCTGTTGTCGACTATTATCTATGTCACTCCGTTCTCGAGATTTCGGAAGGACGAGACAAACGGACGACAGTGGGAATTTAAAAGTCTACAGTTTTTCAAATTGCAGCTCGATAAGTACCCTCCGGTAAACGAGTGAATAAACCACCGAACACCAGTAGTCGGTCGTGGGTTCGAGCGCGACCAACGGAGTGGCCGCTGGAGTTTTCTGGCTTTACTTCGCGTTAGTAACACTTAAATCGAAAAGCTTTACTAGAAGTCTTTCCGGGATGCATCCTCCTTGACAGATCGCTTAGGGACTCTTTCGTGTCGAGTAAGCTTTGTTTATTTAACCTAGTTTCACCAGGTGTTTTACGGGATCATTTAATAGCAATTATTCTTGCATTTTTACAAGATATTTTTATTTCAACAAGCCTTATATCGAGTCTTTCGGACGTGAAACTTAGCAACTTCGATCACGACCTATCCAACAACGGATCACTTTTCAAATATTAATAGTATTCCGGTATTAATTAGTAGTCGTTGACCATGCTCTCTTCAAGGAGAAGGTCAAATACTATTTTTGATCGAATTAACTGAAACACCTTTTCGCAGCAGTATTTTCTTTCTATCAAACCATCGGTATATTTGCATTGGAATAGGAACATTACATAATACGAGGGTACCGGCCTTCACAAAATGTTTGAAGCGATTTTCGAGGGTGCCTAGTTTAAACATTTGGTTGGTGTTTTTGCGAAATTTGATTGGTTGGCAAATTACCGTTTGATATTCGGCTGCGAATGACACAATTTCTTAGTACAGTCGACCCCCCTATAAGATCATAGATACGTTCCATTCTTTAGGAATCCGATTTCTTACGAGTCCTTCCAATCACAGCCCGACACGTGTCAAGTTTACGGACTACGGCTGTTTGAAAGGTTTTCTTCCATAAAATTAATCGATTCTAGACTAATCCGACTCAACATTTCCAAAATACGTATATTTTTTTTTG